AGGGCCAGAGCCCATTGAATTTTGTGCTCTATGCAGAGCCCATGTACATGAATAAATCAAAAAAGAATAGAGTTAAGCGAGAGGGAGAGGTTCTGGAAGAGGAGACAATCACCAGTCCTTAATCCTGGAAACTTCTCTCTTTAACAGAAAGAGCATTCGATTATACAGAAGGAAAGCCAAGTCCCTCTCAACACTTTGTCTTACCACCTAACAGAAATTAGCCTTTGACCTCACCTTCCAACTTGCTGCCATTAAATCCCTCTGCCAAACCAAAGAACACCATGTACCAAAAGGTCAGGAGCCTGGGGCAGCTGAGCAGATGAGTGATCTTACAATCTTCACATGCAAGTCAGAATTTCCAAACTGCCCCCGCCCAAGTGCATCCCACGGTCTGACCTGAAACTCTCAGGCTACGATATGGTTCTCCTCAGGGGTCAGTTGGAAAGACTAGCATGGATGAGAATTTTTCCACAGGGAGCAGAAAAGACAGCCAGGAAGAAGCTTCTGGGTTAGAGAAGAGGCTGGATAGGGTTGTGAAAAGCTACTAGGAGGGGCCAGGGCAAGAGAGAGAGAGGTCTGAAATTGTGGCTGGCCTGTCCCCAGCAGGCAAGAACTCAGAAAACCTGAAGGAGCCAGGCTGTTCAGGAATGTGAGAGCGTTTACATCTCTTCCCTCATGCCCATACAGCCATTGTCTATTCATTTATAGGCCCCTCTTCACACAAACAAATTTGCTCCCCTCTGAGACACAAATTCTGCCCTGGGCTCTGGCATCTGTTTGGTGGGGGAGGCCTCATAATAGAATCAAAAGAAATCTTAGCATCTTAGTGGCTGAGCTGTGCAACCTAGGGGAAGGGACCCCTTCTCTGACCCTTATTCCTTTCTTCTGTCACACAACATGCATGGGAGCATGAAAGGTCCCCTGAGCAGAGAACTGTCAAGCCAGGAAGGACAACTCTGTTGCCTGTCAGTGGCAAGAACAGGGATAGGACTGTCAGCATCGTGCTCTGCCTGGAACATATACACTCACAGTCATAGAAGCCTGGACAGTTTGGGATTCACACAATGCCCAATCTCTTTATGCAATGGATGTAGAAACTGAGCCCCTGAGAGGGATTGGACTTGTTGGTTTGTGCCGGGACAAACGCCAATGCCAGTCCGCAGATCTGGAGAGGATGTTTACAAGGATCCACCCATTCCCTCAGGGACAGGACCAGAAGAAATGGCTTTAACTTGCAAACAAAAGGACTCAGGTGAGACACAAAGAAAAAATCCTGAGTGCAGGAATGGGCTACAGAAGGCTGCTGGGGACCAGCCTTCTCTGAGTTGGGGCCGACCCACAGGCAGGGTGGCTGCCTCCGTGATCCAGCTCTGCACTGCCCCTTCCAGTGACACCACTCTCATGCCAGTCCTTCTTTTTGGGAGTCCAAGGGATTCAAGGTCCCTCTCCCAGAGCCGGCGCCGCAGCTGGTGGCTGGGGGAACTTGAGAAGCCAGTCCTGGAACAGGTGCAACAGCTGGAGGAACTGCGCAGCTGTCGCCTGCCCGGCTCAGTGAGCCAGTGAGTGAGGGAGAGACCTCTACTGGTGACAGAGGGGATGTGCAGAATCGCCCAGTCTAGACCCAGACAGAGGCCTGCCTGCCTGGAGTTGGACTTCAGGCCTTCACTCAGGTACTCCCTAACCCCTCACGCACATCTGGACAGGTGAATGAGGGTGTGGTCTACATGAACAGGAGGGCAGGGTCCCCACTTGTGTGTTTCCCACTATACCTGCTGCCCCAGGCCCTCCAGGCATTCTCCTGGTGTCTGAGGGTCTATCTGTCCTACACTCCCCCAGCTCTTCTTTTCTTTCCAAAGGTTAGGGTGGGCTCAGAATCAAGGCAACAACATCACACCTCTGGATCTTAGAGACTCAGACTGAGGGGCTGTGAAAGCTAGAATGGTCCTCAGTGATCATCCATTGAAGTCCAATGGTCTCACCTAAGAGAGGGGAAACTAAGATCCAGAGAAAGGCAATGTGCCCTGGGTCACAGTTGGAATCTGTGGCATGGCCATTCTAGAGCCCGAATCTGATTACAACTTTGCCCTCTGTACAACATCATACCATGGGAAGCTCCCTTCCTATCCCAGGCCTGGGATCTGGGATTCCATCACCTGGGAACCAGAGTGTGAATTCCCATAATACATGAATCCTTGGAGAAAGAATAGAAGGGTCCACATTTTTATGTGGTCGTTGACTCTCTCCTGAAAGAGGAGGTTGAGGGAGAGAAGAGAAAGTAGATGCATGGCAGACATCTAAAAGGGACAAGCAGTAAGGGAAGAGCAAAAACGAGGGGAGCCAGTGTCAGGTGGTGGAGGAAAGCTCCAAGGCCACTTCTGGGTCCTACAGAGGATGAGCAACCAGAGTAGAATGATCAGGACCATACCTGGATGTGACTCAGCTTGGGCTGGGTCAGTAATGGTCAATAATCAGGCCAATGACAGCTGGTGTCAGGCCTCTACCCTGGAGCAGAATTGGGGTTCAATCACTGGTCAGCGTTGAAGGTGCAGGGCTCAGCCTGGGATTGGAGTTGAAACTCAGTCTGGATTGTATCAGGGCTCAATGTATGGCTGGAGATAGAGTCAAAGGGGGAACAGCCTTTGCTGCACAGCCTCAGACTTGGACAGGGGAGCAGGCTGAAGCCCCTGTTCATGGACCCTCAGCATTCTGCAGGCACCGTCACCCTGGGTGACTGTGACACCACACAGACCGGAGAATTCCCACCTCATGGCACCACTTCTGAAAGCACCTCACATGTCACCAGGAGATTTCTTACCCACAGCAGGCTTGGTGTCTCTCACTGAGACAAGGCCCTTCACCACAGACCTTCAAAGGGGGTCCTGACAAATGAGTACAGGATGAATTCAAGGTTCATAGTTTGTCACACTAGACAACACAAGGCTCAGAGAAGGAAAGTAGTTGTCCTAATTTACCCCATTGATAAGTGACACGTCAAGGAGGAGGATATAGGTCTCCATTCCTTGGTAAATTCACTGTGTGACCTTGTGGTAAATCACTCCCTCTTCCGGGGCTTTGGTTTAATTCTAAGGATGGGTAATATGCTGGGTAGAAGGAGGCTCTCCAAGCTCAGACATCCCAGCATCTAACCTCCTCCCCACTTCACTCAGTGAAGTTGGCTCCAAGGCTTCTCCTCACATCTGGAGCCCTGTCCTTATGATGCGGGAGGGAAGATGAACTGCTGGCAGGACCTGCTGGTAGGTATAGACTCGAAGTAGCGGGGCCCAGAGGAAGGGAGGTCAGAGTGGATCAGGTTGCCAGGGACAGTTTGCTGGAAGCAATGACCAAGTGAGGCCGTGAAGGTGTCACAAGACATGGGAGGCAAAGAGGAGGGGTGTGAACAGGACACAGCAATCCTGAACAGAGGTCTGGTTCCGGGACATCTTCCCATAACACAGCAAGGCCAGGCATGGCACGGAAGCCTCCTGAGCTGAGTGTCTTTCAAGAACAAGAGGCCGGTAGGTGCAGGGTTCATTGAGGGGGAGGAGATATTGACTGAGTATTCCAGCATTGTGCTGGGTGTTTTAATACAATCACCTCCTCCCCAGGACACTTTGGATTCCAGGTTAACACCTATCTTACATATGAAGAAAATAAGGCTCAGAGAAGTTGTGTCTTATGAAGTCACACAGCGATAAGAGGCAGAGCCAGGACTTGAACCCAACACTGACTTCTTCCCATGACTTGTTCCTGAGGGCTTCTATGGGTCTGAGACAAAATACAGCACCACCAGCTCTAGAGAATCAGGTGCAAAGGAAAAGCATGGGAGAGCTGGGCTGCAGAGACAAAAGAGCACAGGCCGGGAGTGGGGCAGCTGGAATCTTAATCCTAGGCTCTGCCCTGTGTGACCAGGAGCAAGCCACTGTCACCACCCTGTCACCACCACCACTGTCACCCCCTGCTGCCACCTCCTGCTTTGGTTTATCAAATATTTCAGGTTCTGAACTAAGCTCCTCCATTCTCCTTAACAGAATCTTTGTTTTGGTTTTCCATCCTCACAGCATCGTAAGAGACAGGAAAGGGGTGCGGAGAGGATCTGTCAGCCTGTTGGGGGCAGTGAGGTTCAGGGAGATGATATAACCTGCCGAAGGTTGCACTATGTCTTACATGGAATCAGGCAACTGTTATTTAAGGAGCTCTACACACCATCCGTGTACTAGTTGCTTTACTTATTTTCTACAATCTAATCCTCATAACTGTCCTGGGATTTTTTTTACTCCCATTTTATAGATTAGAAAACTGAGGCTCAGAGGGGTGCCTCCCCCCAGTTGATATTCAATGGGGCTGCAATGATAAAGATCCTGGTCTAGTTCTCTGTGTCCCAGAGCCTCACCACTCCAACTCAGAGTCCCTTCTAGACATTGTAGGGGTAGGATTTGGAATTAGAGAGTTCTGGCTTTGGAGAACATACTAGTTCTATAAATTCCAGCAAGTTTCTTCTCTTTGCCCCGCCTACATTTTCTCATCTGTAAAGTGTAAGTGGTAAAAGCCACCGTAGAGCAGTGTTGGGAAGATCAAAAGTGACCAGGGACTGCCAAGGCTATCCTCCTTAGCTCTTACCTCTTCTCAAGGGCTCTTCCCAAATGCAACAGTCTCTACGCCCTCATCACACCCCTCTCCTGCAGCCAGACATACCCAACTAGCTGTTTCCTAGGATAAGTCCCCTTCCCCAAAACAGTGCCCTGCCCTTTTGCCCGCTGTCCGCAGCCTGTCCACCCCCAGGTCCCAGGCAGCAGCCTCTTTAGCTTTGAGTCTGGCAACCCAGGGGTCCCCAGATGCAGCCCATACGGGACCGCGGGAGTGTCTCTACCTCCGCGGCACAGGTGCTGCTGGTGGCCGTCACAACGCTTAGTGGTCTCCGTCCCTGGCGTCCTCCCCCTTTCCCCACACATCCCAGGGCCCCGCATCCCTCCTCCGCCCCACCAGCCTCCCCCTCTACTTACGGGCTCGAGCGTGAGAGTCCAAGGGGAACCAGAGCAGCGCGAGTCCCAGCAAGCAGGAGAGGACCCTCACCTCGGGAACCATCCTTCCTGTCCCCAGGGTGGGGCCGCCGGGCCGAGCCTGGAGGGGAGCCCCGGGAAAGTGAGAGGAGAGGGAGAGTGAGGCACGGGGGCGCGGATCCGTCCGCACACCCAGGGAGGAGAGTCAGGGAAGGGTCGAGGGGAGGAAAGGCGGACAGGAAGGAAGGGCTAAGGTGGGAATTAGAGAAAAGTGCAGAGAGGACAACGGGGAGGAGGGAGAGAGATGGAGCGATGGAGGGAGGTCGGGCAGAAGGGAAAAGCAGTCAAAGAAAGGGAGAAGGTGAGAGGCAGAGGAGGAGAAGAAAGGGAGGCGCGGACGCGGGTCTGCGGGGCGCGGCGCCGGG